TCGCCCCCCCCGGGCCTTTGGCCCCCCCCCCCCCCACTCCCTTGCAGCAGGGTGGAGGCGCGGCTGAGCAGAGCTCCTTAGCGCCCCCGCCCGCTGGGCACCTGCAGGACCGCCCTCCCAGCAGGGCTGTCCTGTGCAAAATCACATCTGTTTAAAGTACATAGTGTTCCCCATTTTCACTGATAAATTTCCCGATTTTTTTTAAGTCATTCGGTTTTTACTTATTTACACCCGTTTTTCAGTTCACATGCCTGGGTCACCACCCACCTGACCTGGCTGCTGCTCTTTGCATAACAGGCCTTCCCTCTGCTAGGTTCACAGGGGCTGAGGCACCCTGATGCCTGGCAATGACTCCAGCAGAAAGGGCTTCCTTGGTAGCATAGGGGCATCCTCTGCTCTCGGTCTCTTCCAGCATGTTGTGCCATCCACCTTCTCAGGGTGCCGTTCTCTACCTGTTTCTCCAGTATCTGTAATCAACATTTCAGCTGAGCCAAAGTTGGAGCAACTTTGAGGGTTTTTTGAGGATTTTCTGACTGACACTGGAGAAAAGGCAAGGCAACAATGTCTTTAAAGACTGCATGGCCCAAGTGACCAGGGAGCAGTTGTTCACCAAGTCCCAGAGTACTAAAACTAGGGGGCAACTGCTGAAATTAGTAAGGGCCAGTTTTAAAACTAACAAGATAAAGTGTTTTTCTTACATAGCACGTAGTTGCCTTGTGACATTTGTTGCCACAGGAGGTGGTGGAGGAAGACAGGATAACCAGGTTCCAAAAGGGACAGGAGAAATTCATGGATCTGTTAATGGCTGTTGAACAGAATGGTTGGAGATATTTTGTTTGGCATCTCTAACCCAAAAAACGGTGGATGCCAGGACAGGTATTGAATAGCACAGGGGTTTTCAACCTTCTTTAGTCTAAGTACCCCTAGTGGCCAGATGCCGAGCATGGGAGGTGGAGGTTGCGTGTGGCTGGACACTGAGCAGGGAGGTGAGGATGATGCATAGGCAGGCAGGGACAGAGCACTGCCACTTCCCAGGAGCAAGGCTGGGGCAGGGTGGGAAAGCTCACTGGGCTGGTGTGTGGTGGCAGAGATCGCTGCACCAAGCTTTTCCGCCCCACAGAGGGGCGCTGCTGCCCTTGCCCCACCCTGGCCCTGCTCCTGGAATGCAGTGGTGCTCCGTCCCTGCTCGCCTAGAACTGGTACAAGTACACCCAAGGGTACACAGATGCCTGGTTGACATCCCTTGGAATAGTGGATCGATCCCTTTAGAGATAGCTGGCTCAATGCTCTCCCTCTGTCTCCAAACTTTTTTGATCGTGCACCCCTATAAGTAAAAAATTTTTGAGCATGCACCCCCAATATATGTATATTTATTTATAAATTATATACATGTACTACTCGTGTACCGTATGTGACACGTGACCGTCTGACGTATGGACAGAGTGAGGGCACCAGTGTCAATCCGTATATTAAATATTAATAAAACTTAATTTCTTCCTTTTTTTTAGATAAAAAATAAATAGAAGTTCTAATATTTTCTTCCCACCCCTCAATGGATCATCTTGCGCACCCCCTGGGGTGCACACACCCCACTTTGGAGACCACTGCTCTATTGCATCCATTTTTGCCACTGGGCTAAATGGCCCATTGGTCCGACCTGTTATGGCACTTGTTCTGATGAAGCCATGTTTCATAATAGGAATCAGTGGTGCCAATAAAATGAGAGAGGCAAGGGTTTTTTTGTCTCGTATCTTTTATTGGATCCACCATATGTTCAGGATAGACTTAGGCAAGCTTTGGAATGCAGTTTTGCATTTCCTTCCAAGTAAGCTTCATGTGGAACAGAAAAATTAATCCTATTTTTCTTCTAAGAAGAGCCTTTCCATGAAACTCTTATACAGCTGAAAAGCACCATAAAAGCTTTAAGTACGACTATGAATATATTCAACAACAGGCAACACCAGCTAATTGCCATTCCAACTGCTACAACAGTGGAGGCCAACCTTTATAGGAGGCATGCCACAAATTAGTTTCTCACTGTCCCCAAGTACCACTCTGATCCCCTTCCCTTGCCTAATCTGCTTTCTGCTGCCTTCCTACCTGCCGTTGTGCTCTCTGCTCCCTCCCTGATCTGCCAGAAGCCAAACACAAAGGCTGCCTGTGCCACGTGTGGCATCTGTGCCAGAGGCCGCCCACCCTTGGGCTACAGAATCCATGGCTTCCAACATTGCTTCCTCCCTCCTGTTATAATAGAGGCTCACCCCCAAGTTTGCCTGCTCTATGAAACATAGTGGAAAGGAATGTGATCCTGCAACCTCTGGACTTACATGTAGCAATAGCACTGGCCAGCCCAGCAGCAACTAACCCCAATCCAGAGATTATTCGGCAGAGGAGTAGGGCATTCCACTGTTAGATAACACGAGTTTGATTTCATATCTCTGTTACATGACCATATGATGTCTTTAGGGTGGGATAGTTTCAATTATCTTAAACTGTACTGTATAGCCCTTTTGCATTGATAAGACTATAATAAAGTTTGCTTAGCCATTGTTAACAGGAGGAAATCAAGTGGTATAAAACTGGTCACTTTGACAAACTGATTCCATGTCTATCTGAAACTACAGAAAGTACAGACTAACTAGGTCAAGCTGTCAAATCCTACATATTTATATTCTTCTTTAAAAATGAAAAGGGGCAAAAGTAACTTCAGTATATTTTTTAAATATTATTTCATGTATAAAAACAGCGCTTTTTTCATTGTCGACTGAAAATTCTCTCTCTTGTTATTTTACATCACATTTTGACTTTAAGGGAGTAGACAATGAAAAACAGAATTTATTGTTAGTGTTACAGACAAAAGACTATTGACTTCAGTACACCTAGAATTTCAACCAGTATCTTAGTAGCTATATTATCTCCTCCAACCTTCAGATCATGTTTATACTCTCCAAAGAACGTTTATGCTTTTCGCTGCTCAGATTAAATGAATGCTGGTTTGTAAACCTCAGAATAGAAATGTTTTTAATACAAATTTGTACAACTACCAACACATTGGGTCCCCGTTCTATTTTTGACAAACAGGTTTCAATGATGCCTACCTGAAACATTTCAGAATTATGAATCAGATTTAAATGACTATGATGTTGGCTTAAAAACAGACATTTTAAAAGTAGTATTTATTAGACTTCTTTGTATTTGCCTATTGGTTTTCAGGGATTCAAGCAAGGTAGAAGAGGCATGCATTCAGATACACTACCACTAAGCAACCTAATAAGTAAAGTAGGTTCTGGCACTTTTTTTAAATGAAAGCAGCATCTCAGTCTGAATGCCAGCATGATGTGGATGCAGGATCCAACCTCAAAAAAATCAGCCAGACTTAGTAACATGTAAAACAACATTTTAAAAGTAAGGTGATATTTTAATGTTAACCATGTATATCCAAGAATGATGCTTTGGGGAGAATACCAAGTATCATAATACTGATGATAAAACCATGACACTTGGCAGCAGTGGATAAATCGCCCAGCAAGCAATGATAAAGGGATGGGAAGACAAAAATCTCAAAAATAGTATACAAACACAGCAGAGCATGAAAAACAGGCAATTTAAAAGTACAAGCATTTTATTTATTGTGATGATTCCTAGCCTCCTGATATTTTTGTGGGGAGACTTCCAAAAATACTTCTGTTTCAGTGGAGGCCTATATATGGAACTACAGTTTTGAAAAATATATGCTATGAGAGGTGTGATGCATACCCATTAAGTTACTGAGAAGAATAGCAAAATCTCAGAAGCAGGGCAAAATCAAAATACTCAAATTCAGTTCCCCATTTCCTGCCACAGCCCCATTAACTACTCTGGAATAAATTGCAATTAATCATTTTTTTTAAATAATATACTTTATTTTTATTTTGGGGCAGGGCGGGGGTGGTTACAAACTGGCACATGAAAGAAAGGAGACCTGGTTAAACCCAGACTACAGATCTGTCCCAGAATTTAGACTCCAAAACACTTCTGTTTTGCAGATGACCTTCAGAGTATTAGATTTATATTTGAACAGGCACAAATGGAACTGAGTTTAGTGGTATTTGGGGATATTTTTTCATATCATCAAACCACTACATCACTAGTTCTTAACCTTTTACACTCCATAACTTTCTTGTATTTGGCATAACCCTGGTTAAGAACCACTGTAAAGTCTCAACCTATCTACTTTATCTCCAGGGTGCCATCACCAGGTGGAACTACCCTGCATACACATGCAGGTCTAAGAAGTGGCAGCGAGGGCCAAGCTCAACACGAGTAA